CTATGGGCAGTGCCATATTGGATGCCATCTGGGTGGGATACAAGGATGATGAGTTCTGCAAAAAGTTGGCATCCGCAGATACCTCTCTTGCCTCAATCAAACTCCACAATGATCTCTGGTACATTGGGGATTGACTCGTTATCCCTCACACAGGATCCTTGCAAGAAGACTTGTTTCAACTCACACACAATTCCTTGGGACACTTCAGTGCTGATAAGGCTTATGCAACATTGTGTGACTGTTACTACTGGCCCAACATGTGCCATGATCTCGAGCTTGGTTACATCCCAGCCTGTGTTGATTGCCAGCAAAACAAATCAGCTACATCAAAACCACATGGCCCCCTACATCCTCTCCCCATTCCTGATGATCATGGTGACAGTGTGGCTATGGATTTCATTGGCCCATTGCCTGAAGATGATGGCTTCAATTGTATTCTGACAATGATAGATCGACTAGGTTCTAACATCTGGATCATTCTCATTCAAACAGACATCACAGCACCTCAGCTTGCAGAAGTATTCTTTCATGAATGGTACTGTGAGAATGGTCTACCTGCTAATATTGTCTCTGATGGAGACAAATTATTCACTTCCAAATTCTGGGTTGCACTACACAAGCTTACTGGCATCTCTTTGAAGCTATCCTCTGCATACCATCCACAGACTGATGGTTCAAGTGAGCGTTCAAATAAAACTGTGAACCAATGTATCTGTTTCCACATTTCCCAAAAACAGAAGAGTTGGGTAAAGGCTTTCCCAATCATCTGATTCAATATGATGAACACCATTAATGTGTCCACAGGCTACTCTGGTTTCCAGCTCAGAATGGGTCACTCCCCATGCATTATCCCCCCACTGGTGCCCTCAATGCTACCTCCCTCAGAACCCATCACCTTGGCAACTGAGCTACTCCAACGTATTGAGTCCCAGACTCAGGATGCCAAAGACAACCTCATGCTTGCAAAAATCACACAATCCTTTCACACAAACAAGAAACATGCACCTGAGACTGAATTCCATGTAGGTGATAAGGTGATGCTGTCTACCTTGCATCGCTGTCAAGAATACAAGGCTGGCAAGAAAGACAGGGTAGCGAAGTTCATGCCCCATTTTGATGGCCCTTACAGTCATTGACACCCATCTGGAAACATCCTCTTATATGCTCGACATCCCTAATTCACCAAACACCTTCCTTACCTTCCATTCTAGTGTATTGAAACCCTTCATCCATAATGATCTATCCCCCTTCCCCCACTGCAAACACCCTGCTCCACATCCGATCATCACTGCTGATGGTATTGAGGAGTTCTTCATAGACAAAATCATCGACGAATGGAAATGTGGGTGTGGTTATCAATACCTCATTCGTTGGGTTGGTGAGGGTGAAGAAGAGGATCACTGGCTGCTATAAAAGGAATTAGAGGATTGCGAGGCCCTCAACAAATGGCTCTTGCTCAAGGAGTAAGTTTTTTTTCTTAAAACAGGGGAGGGTGTAAGCCCATCCCCAGCTATGATGTACTTACACTGCGATGACACACACTTTCAGACCACTTTTGCTTCTGTCTTTTTCCTGGATTCTGCTTCTGCTCATATAAATACTTGCTCCTGTAGTTAGAGGACCAACTTTTTCTTTCTTTCTTCCTCTCCCTCACATAGACATCTACTGTTCTCTCCAATACCACGTCATTCACCATATTTGTTGCCTTTCATGAGTTTAGTGTTTCCTGTCCTTGACAGGTTTCCAGATACTAGCTGATAACACAGGTCTTCGTGAGCCAGCAGGCATTAGTGTACTACTTCCTCAGCAATTATGATACCTCACTACAAGATGCTCAGGGAGAAATGTGACCATGTCTATAGCACTGTTAGCAAAGACATTGTCAGACAACTACTGGGGGTCATCCTAATTTTTCTCATTGAAAACAAACAAGGTATGATTCATGAGTGCTACTCCATCATCAATGCTTTCTTCATAGCTTCGTAGAAACTATCCAGGGCAGACATCTGACAGAAAGATATCAACAAATTATCTTTGGCCCTCAGAACTGGGAACACCCACATCCTTCAACTTATCCATGAACACTGATTACATACCCTGGCTGCCATGAACCGATCTTTTGTGACAGTACAAAGTGTCCATAAACTGAGGCCTTAGTAGTGGAAATGATTTTCAACTGGCACCAGGGAGGTAAGGGTGGCTGCAGGCTATACTAGTACTGATTGTATTAGATCTGTATCGCAGATTTGCACTAGCCAGATCTGGGCTAAGGGTTACGGCTTTATTCTTTCATTTCTAAGTCTGGCACCTGCAGGCTGTAAGTAAGAATAGATATCTTAGATGATCACAAGATAGACTACTGCTGTATCACCCCTCCATTAAGACCTGCAGAATTGTTTTTAGAGGGCCATAATGGTGCCCTTTTTAGGGAAAGGGCCTCAACTAGGGGAGTAAACTCTCATTTTACTCTTTCACATGATCGCTTGGTTCCACTTGAGGCCTATCTTATTTACTCCTGAAATCTGCCAATTGTAAACTAGCAGTTGTCGTTCAATGACTTTCATACCTTGCTTTAGTGGTTATCAAAGAGGCTCTTCCACTTCAAATACATGTTCAAGTTGAATTTGTAGTATAATATTTGCAAGTCAATTACAAGTACACATACTTACCTCCCTGGTGCCGGTTGAAAATCATTTCCACTGTTAAGGCCTCAGTATGGACACTTTGTACCATCACAAAAGATTGGTTCATGGCAGCCAGGGTATGTAATCAGTGTTCATGGATAAGTTGAAGGGTGTGGGTGTTCCTGGTTCCAAGGGCCAAAGATAATTTGTTGATATCTTTCTGTCAGATGTCTGCCCTGGATAGTTCCTATGAAGCTATGAAGAAAGCATCGACAATGGAGTAGCACTCATGAATCATACCTTTTGTTTGTTTTCGATGAGGAAAATTAGGATGACCCCTCATAGTTGTTTGACAATGTCTTTGCTAACAGTGCTATAGACATGGTCACATTTCTCCCTGAGCATCTTATAGTGAGGTATTACAATTGCTGAGGAAGTAGTACACCAGTGCTTGCTGGCTCACGAAGACCTGTGTTATCGGCTAGTATCGGGTGATTCCATAGCATGTGATATCTCCTGATTAATAAGCACAGGTAATAGATCTGGAGAGACCTTGGCAAGCAAGGTAATATACATGTGTTTCTGTTTGCTCACCTTATCAACTGCCAGCCTCCCTCTCAGTATTTGAAACCTGCTAATATCAAATTCATCTTTCTTGCCAGTACTCACCTCTCTAACAAACTGTGAGCTTCTGGCAGCAGATTCTCAGCTAATCAATGAAACCCAAAGATTTCATCAAGCCACTTCAAGACATGGAGGCAACAAGACCAGTGACACCAAACTTTTCAGATTCTGTAGCAATACCAGGAGTTGCCTGGCACAGTGAATCCTAATGAGCTGGGATACAGAGAATAACTTTGAAGTTCATTCAATGGCTCAGTAGTGCATCCCCAACCATGTTCAATTATCACTTTATCTAAAGGCTCCTGCTAGACAAAGCACTCTTCATCTCTGATCTACCTGGAGATAAAACGGAACTAGTCCATTGCCAGTCAGCATGTTTTGCTATGACGTCCTCAATGCATGGAGCTTTGGTACCTTCCATCCATATGACATGCAGGTCGATGTTGAACCATCCAGTCTCTGTCAAAGTGTTCAAATGTAGCAAGTGTAGATGGCATGGATCCAGCTAAATGTTATTGTCAACATCCTTTGGCGGAAATCATTAAACAGGTTCAACCAGCTCCTTCCAGTTACTGTGCTCGTCGAAGTCCATTGCTCTTTTTTTTCTGGCTAATATATCTGTGGATTCCTTGGACTATAACCTAATATCATGCCTGTACATCTATGTACATTAGTGTACACCCATGTAAATTGATGCACATCTGTGTACATCCATGTACTTCCCTGAACTCCCATGAAACCCCATGCAAAAGCATGTAACTCTTGGCAAGGACACAGCTGCTATTCCCATCTCGTGACCCCCATGTAGGTACAACTGCCCACCCAACCTGACAGCCTTCATTGCAATTCACAGTTATGTTTCCATGGAAGTTCACGGGAATCCATGCCCACCATCACGACGCTGTCACATGTGCATTTGATTTGTTGCAATAATTTCAATCATTGATTACCCCTTTATTGATGTCAAATCTAGCAAACATATGTCTATTTGATGTAATATGCAAAACATGTACTTTATCTAATAGTATTTTCATAAACATTACCACCCCATAGCATGGTCAGGTGTATCTTGATGCGCCGTCACCTCATATTTCCAACAAATCCAATGTGTGCCCAAAATTTGTGGCCTGTCACATATATCAGTCAAACCCATCATCCCCCAGCCCTTTATCACTATTCCTTTATTACCACCCGCTCTTTCACGGCTAAAAATCTCGTCATTCCTCATCTCATTCCCTTCACCCTCCATGGAAGTTACTAATTCTCCATGTGGTGCTTGTTTCCTTTGTCAGAGAGGGTGCTCCTCATTCGTTGTCAGCGTCTACAACTTCCAAAATTCCATGGTGGGTGTACTCTCTTTATACTCTGTCTCGACCGCTCATACATTCAACTCAGAACCGATGTGCGACATGCAGCTGCCTTTATGCATGCCACCAACCTCTCATCGCACCCGGAGAGATTGTCTACATCTGTGATGCTACCCATTGCTGTGGCCGAGTATGGGTAAGCTCTCATTCGATGTCGCCCCACTCTCAATTCACACCGTGACCACAGCAACCCCACAACCTGCCTGTTTGCCAGTGCAGCGCTCCTGAACAAGCTCACTCTGCACAGGTGATGCCGCCCCCACCAGTCCAATCTGCGAACGACGTGCTCTCAGCCATTGCACCGACTTTTACATCCCCACCTGTAAATACTGCTCCCACCCCTTCCAACACGCAACCACCAGCTTCGGCTGTGCCACCTTACAGCATGTCACCATTCACTCCAGCCTCTGCAGCTGTGTTCCCACTCCCTTTCCCACTAGTCCCCTCTGAAGCGGTCCATGCTCCATCACCGTCTGCAGCGCTGACTCCACTTCAATCGAATCCTGCTGCTCTTGTCGCACAGGTGCTGCAGGCGCTTCCCAACCTCCAAATGTCCAACAGCCTGTACAATCTGCTGCCAACGATCTTCTGACCGCTGGGCTTCATCTGCCACCCTCTTTTCCCCAGTACATGGGACCCACCGGGCCCATTGTCAACGTTAGAAACAACCGGAATAGCACAAACCAGCAACGACAACAGTCCATCAATGCTTGCAGTGCTTTTGTACAAAATCTTGCAATGGGTTGTAACGGTAATCAGCCTGTTGTAGTCGAACTCAACATCCTCATAGATCCCTTGTGTTGTCCCAATGGTAATTGTCATCACCCCAACGGTGACATTCACGCTGATGACCCCATGTCTGCCGAGTACAAAATTCTACTCTCGGACATCCAACCTCTCATCGGCTGCCTCCAGTCCCTCCATCTGGTCCTCCCTGTCAACATGCACAAGAATGCCGAATGTTACGTCGACATTCAAAAAGCTCTGATCAATCATCAAGCTCACAGCGATACTCCGAAAATTCCCGGATTCAATCCCGACCCCAATGCTGAGCCCGATAACAGTGGATGGTGCCTTCATCAATTCCGCATGGTACGACATTCTACAAGATTGGTCTGCACTCCAAGTGCTCGAAACAAGACCTATTTCACCTGGAGTAATCTTACCCAACATTGTTCTTTCAGCAAAGTGGCTAAGGAGTCGGGGCAGGCTGACGACCCAGGCTTTAAAAGCTATATTATGATCTGTGAGCACCTGACTAATCCTTGAAGCTTGAACTCACGAGACTCACCTCATATCATCCCAGCACCAACGAAGGGCAACATCATCCACTCCATTGCCAACTGCTATCTCACAGACTTCGACTCTCCAATTCACCCTGTGAAAGCAGCCATGCTGCATCCTTGTTTTGCAGCGCATGCGCTTTTCGGGCTTTCTTTCATTGCGTGAACGTTTGGAGAGTATGCTGTTGGTCCTGACCAGCGATGCCTGAGACTATGTCATGGGGAACCCCCAGACCTACACCCCTCGGCATCCCCTATGCCCAGAGTCCGAAATTGCCCCCTCAATCCCCACACACCTGATATCAATGTAAGTCCCAATCCAATACGACGTCAAGCGAGCTTAATGACCCCACCTTTTCAGAATTATGCACCTGTTTTGCCCCAGTCGTCTGCAATGCTGAGTTCAGAACACGATCCTCCAGCAGAGGTCGGTAATCCACTGACCACCCAGCCCATCCATGTGCTGGCAAGTGATCGTTCAGCTCAGGTAACTTCCACATCAACCCTCACCTTGACTTGACTCATGCCACAAAACAGCGCTCAATCCAAATGTTCATACCCACCCATCGACCACGCACACCTCCTCCCTTCATTTGTCCCAAGTGGGATCACCCTGGAAAAGACCTTCGCCATGCCCTGCGCACTCATACCGACACAGAAGATCTGCTCGTGATTATGGCTCAGAGTATCCCCCAAGCAGCCAAAGTCCTTTGGCACACTCTCCTTCACCTCGGCCGCCTCAAATTCACCCTGCCTCCCGATGAAGCTATCGATCATCATGCTCATCCAAAACCTCCCCTTCCTGATGGCGCGACAGTAGATTCGTGGTGGAATCCAGCTGGTTTCACTCGTGCAGAGATACATATTCACAACAAATCAGCGATGGGAAACAGCCTGCTGAAGGGGACCTTGACCCTCATTCTGGAACAGCTCCTTGATCCTACTCATCCCGACAGCTGCTACAGTTTGCTTCCCGGTGGATCGCTATACCTATACCCCCGCATGCCGGTTTACGATCTTACAGTGGACCAGTCTGCATTCTGGTGGTCACAGGGCTTCTTCCTCGCCCTGTGGATCCTCTCGACTCAACAAGCACCCCTGCCCCTGTTCGCACCCATTATACATGCTCTCCTTGCCAAAAGGATTGAACAGTGTCGTTACCAGCTAGACCAATGGCCCACCGCAGCCATCAACGACATCGATCCCTGCCTAGCAGAGTTTCTCCAACCTTGGTTAGACCTGCAGAAAACACAACCCATCTCCACCCACGCCAGTAAACTTGATCGACTTCGCGAGCCCGTGCCAGTGTTTCTCATGGAACATTGCGCAGGCATTGTCTCTGTGAGTTCTTCGGCCGTTCCATCTGGCTTGTGCTTATTGTGTTCCATTTAGCCTAGTGAGGTTGGTCTGGGACCCACCTGAGATCCTGACCTTCACGACAACCATGACCGAGCCATCCGTTCCTTCCACATAGTTGGCCATTCCAATTTCGAGAGCCTGCCTGCCTTCCGAGCATATCACAGCGGATTTCACCAATCCTTCAGCTCACGTTTCGATGGGTTATCTTCCGGAGTAATGCTTGTGAGTACCACCTTGTGCAAAAGCACAGTCAATGCCCTTGTTGAGTCGCCTTTGCAGTCGTCCCTCATCCAATGCACGGCCAAAGTGGTGCACAAGTCTGAATTCCTATTCATATATTGGCTGTTCAACCGCAAACTCGAGAGTCTGGCCCAACTCCAGCCATATCTCAACTACGACAACAGTCAGATCATTTCCACCGAACAGGGCAAATTGCAGATCGGTGGTGACGAGCTTCTCGCAGACCTTGTCCTCACTCGTTTTCGGCTCGCACTAGAGATGTACCTCCACAAGGACGTGGTCGGCAGAGGTACACAACTCCTCAAAACTATGACGTCCTGTCCATATCTTCCCGCCAGCGAACATGACAAGATCACGGTACCACCTGTAACCCCTGTATCTTGCCACTCTCTAACACCTATCCATTCTCTAGTTCAAATTCGTGCTGCTCGATCCCAACAGCGACATTAAAAAACCGTCAGGCTCCAAGCTCCTGTACAACTTCGTGCATGCCTGTTGGTCAAGCACTGATATCGGGTTCAATGGCCATCTGGTTCAGTTGTTGGCCACAGGCTGATGGGAGGGCCTGACCACAGATGCGTATTTCAACAGCATCTTCAATGGGAACCTCGTGTGATATAATCGGGCTTAAGCGTGTAGAGTAGTAGTGAATTGAGCACATGTAGTAGTAGAGTAATAGTCCAGTTGTCATAGCCATAGCACTGAGCACTCGTTGATACATGCTATCCCAACCAATCTATATCTCCATGGGTCAGTCCAACCAAATTAAAAAGTTCGTAAAAGAGATCCTCACTCGCCTTTGAAGCACGGCTCTCCAATCCATTGTTGTGCCTTGGCTTCTCCCTCTTCCACATCGGAGCCGTCGCCATGAACCACATGCTGACAATGTCCAAGCAGTGTGTTCATCGCAGACAAGCGAGTGGGGGCGACATTGCTGTCGGAACCCACTACTTGTCATTGTAGCAGAGAGGTAAAGACTCAAGAACCAGCCACGTCTCTTCCCAAGGTCTCACGTGGTGCAGCCATCAGCCGGCATTCAAGCTCCCAACCACACTGTCTCCACGCAAGTTCCCACATTAATCTCCTTGTACCATTATCCCATTCTCATCCACCTACATCTTCACTATGCCCTTGAGCAGCTAGCCGCAAGGTTTCTGCTGCACAGTTGGACATTGGTCTCCATGCCTGATCTTCGCACCGTCTTCCTCGATGATATCACTCACCCGTCCGTCCAGGTTCAACCATGACTTCCGAGGTCGAGTACTCCTACGACAATCTTCGAAAAAACCTCTCCCTGTTGCTGCACAACAAGCAGCCTACACAAGGTGAGAGTCTTCGACTTGTCACCCTTTTGGAGCTTTCCAAACCTAATCTCCTCTACACCCCGGTTTGACATCCCTTACGCATTCTCTCCTTCCTCCTCTGATTGGCGTCTGGAGAGACGGGTTGGAAACCGTTAATGCAGAAAAAGGGCGCAATTCCTGTGCTGCGTATGGGTATCCTCTCCCGCATCCTGATCTCCTCTGTGCTGTACAAAGTGAAGACAAGCTCATTCTCCTTCTTTCTTCTTGGCTATGCCTGAGGGTCGGATTGCTTGCGCGTTTCAACAGTCACTATCTGGTCACCGTGCAGAGTCATCAGCTTTGGAGGACCATCCTCCAGACGGAGTGGTTCACCAGCCATGGTTCTAGCACCAATGCCTGAGGTGAAGCGGCTTGACAAGAGCAGGCTTCCCAATTTCTCGAACATTGCAATCAAGAATTAACCACTCAAGTGTCAGGAGGTGGAGTGGCACGCTGGCTGAACAAGTATGTGGCACAGTTAGAGCCAGACTATATCCGTGAAATTCTGTGGGGAAGTAGCCCAAGTACAATGAATCTGACAATTGCTCATGTTGACCCTCTCTCTATGTAATACTTGAATGATTTACTCGTTGTTACTAACCAATCCAGTTTGCATGTTGGACATGAACGAAAAGCCCTTTTTTGTTAATGTGTACTCCTACTTATCGATAGATTGTCGTAAATACAATTTTTTTTTGCTGACTCGACCTCCCGTCCCATCCAGGAAGTACCTCAACCCTTAGGGGAAAAACACAATCCAGCTATCTTCATCAATGTATCCCGCCTCTCTTGCCATATCCTCTGCAAGTTGTCGGTCATCCTCATCCAACCTCGGAAGCTCGTGCATGGCGTTTTCGACTGTGAACGCATGAATTGGTGCTTGTTGGATGTGTGCATGGCACCGAATACAGGTATAAGCCAGGTTCTCTTTAAAGGCGCGTTCCCATTGGAACCACTCGTAGGTACAGCCTACACATACCGCATGGCCACATGGAATCATCCTGCAGATGCGCTTAGACTACAGCACAAGGACTGAGAGGATGGCTGGAGAGTGTGTATGTTACGGCCCGCCAAAGTTTGTGGAAGCACACATGGCATGTCAATTCCTCCTCGACCTTGCACCACATCTGTCGGTGATGTTATCCTTTAGTTAGTAGACAGCTACGATGGCGAAAAGGTCGTCACACTCACCAGGTTGACCTGTGCCCAAAGGTGATCGACCTGCCCCCGAATACGTGCCAAATGCTCCTCAGCGTCACGACAAGCTCTCTCGGCCCTACGACGACCAGCTAGAACCTGGAAAACTTGCGTTGCAGAGGGGTCCATAACCATGAGTAGTCAGCTAACCTGTTTGATGTAGCGTTCTTTAAGTTCGAGCTCGTCAATGCATAAGAGGTTCTCCTGTACCATCCATCGACAATCAGCTCAAATGCTAATTAAAAGCTGACTCAAGAAAGTCAGCACCTGTAGCTGCTACTTTGATGCATCAAACACTGTTAGTTGACAGTTAATTGTGATACATCAGGAGTGTCAGTTTACATCCAGCCCATATACAGTAATTCCATCAGGATGACAAAGTGGCTTAGTAAGCTTCCCAATCTGTGTCAATGATGGCATCATTAGAAAAGAGGGCAATTCCGGGAATTGAACCCGGGACCTCAAAAATAAATCCAATAATGTCACATGACTTTCTCGAGCAGACATGCTAACCACTACACCATACTGGCATTATATATATATCTTTTCATCTCTATATATACCCTCCCTCCCTTAACATTTATGACCTCATATTGATGCCCTCCCTTTGCTCCGCTCTGGTGCGCTCTTTTGCCTTTTTAGGCTCCCCAAATCAGCCCATCAATTTTGGCTGGATCCAGTGGCAGTGCCGCATTTTTAATACCCAAAATAGGGGCTATTTTCCGGTCAAAATAGCTATTGGGCTATTCTCAGGCTACTGGCTGGGCCAGGGGATGGCACTATAATCTGTATAGACATAAACAACATAAAATAGAGCCCTCTAATGATGCATAGGAGCCCTGGATAGTGGGATAAAAGGGTAATATAATGAAAATCGCATAAATATTCGCTTTTGGGGGCTGCTGCATGCATTGGATCGGCTGGAGGACTTCACCAATCGATTCCCTGACCTTGAAAACACCCAAACGACCCCTCCACAGTACTTTTGGCACACTTTATTCCTGGAGATAAACGAAAATATTCGCTTTTTAGGGTGCAGCATGCTCCAGATCGCTTTGAAAACATTACCAGTCGATTCCTATGCTATAAAAACCCTAGAATACATCCTCCTTCGTAATATAGGTCCAGTATAATACAGTATAAAAGGGGGTATTAGGGGGCATACATCGCTTATTTTGTTTTTCGCACTTCGGATGGCCTGGGGAGCATCACCAATGGATTCCCTGATATTAAAAACCCCAAAACGACTCCAGCCTTCATTTATAGGGTCTCAAAAACGACAGAAATAATGATATTACAGTTTAGGAGGAGCACATGTAATAAATCCTATTTCTGGGCTTCGGACCACTTCGGAGTTTTGTCTATTGTGTTTATTGACCTGAATAACACTCAAATGACCCCACAGGACAAAGGAAACCATCAGAAATACGTGATAAAAAGAGTAATAGGGGGATGGAGGAGACATACCTTATATTTCGCATTTCTAATAGTTAGGGAGGGTATTCTTGTTATATAACAGACTGTATATATTGTACAATGGTGTGTACGAAGCCCCATGGATATCTGAAATGTATTGAATGAGATATGAGCAGATCATTCTGTAAAACAGGAGGAGCACATCCCAGGTTTCGATGTTCTGCTCATTCTATGGCCTGGGGACTATCAGAATCGGATTCCTTGACCCAAAAAACAGTAGGGCCACCTATCATCCATGGTATTCAGATGTTCAAACTCCGAAGTACAAGATGTTCTCTCATTTGTCACTTATATTGTCCTGTAGCTACATATGGCTGTATGTGTTATCTGGGTAAAATGGCTCCTATGGATGATAGGTGGCCCTACTGTTTTTTGGGTCAAGGAATCCGATTCTGATAGTCCCCAGGCCATAGAATGAGCAGAACATCGAAACCTGGGATGTGCTCCTCCTGTTTTACAGAATGATGTGCTCATATCTCATTCAATACATTTCAGATATCCATGGGGCTTCGTACACACCATTGTACAATATATACAGTCTGTTATATAACAAGAATACCCTCCCTAACTATTGGAAATGCGAAATATAAGGTATGTCTCCTCCATCCCCCTATTACTCTTTTTATCACGTATTTCTGATGGTCTCCTTTGTCCTGTGGGGTCATTTGAGTGTTATTCAGGTCAATAAACACAATAGACAAAACTCCGAAGTGGTCCGAAGCCCAGAAATAGGATTTATTACATGTGCTCCTCCTAAACTGTAATATCATTATTTCTGTCGTTTTTGAGACCCTATAAATGAAGGCTGGAGTCGTTTTGGGGTTTTTAATATCAGGGAATCCATTGGTGATGCTCCCCAGGCCATCCGAAGTGCGAAAAACAAAATAAGCGATGTATGCCCCCTAATACCCCCTTTTATACTGTATTATACTGGACCTATATTACGAAGGAGGATGTATTCTAGGGTTTTTATAGCATAGGAATCGACTGGTAATGTTTTCAAAGCGATCTGGAGCATGCTGCACCCTAAAAAGCGAATATTTTCGTTTATCTCCAGGAATAAAGTGTGCCAAAAGTACTGTGGAGGGGTCGTTTGGGTGTTTTCAAGGTCAGGGAATCGATTGGTGAAGTCCTCCAGCCGATCCAATGCATGCAGCAGCCCCCAAAAGCGAATATTTATGCGATTTTCATTATATTACCCTTTTATCCCACTATCCAGGGCTCCTATGCATCATTAGAGGGCTCTATTTTATGTTGTTTATGTCTATACAGATTATAGTGCCATCCCCTGGCCCAGCCAGTAGCCTGAGAATAGCCCAATAGCTATTTTGACCGGAAAATAGCCCCTATTTTGGGTATTAAAAATGCGGCACTGCCACTGGATCCAGCCAAAATTGATGGGCTGATTTGGGGTAGTGTTTCGATGACTCAGCTTGGCCCGGCCCGACGCGGCTTTGTTCGGCTTCAGCTTCAATGACTTGGCCAAGTCATTAATTTATTGCAGCTTGACTTAAAGCCGAGCTGTAGTCATGCGAGTCGGCAAGTCGGCGACTTGAATCCAAATATAGATATTGATTTAAGGATTAACTACAACAGCCTCCACCGCTGTCAGACTCTGCTTGAATGCAGTTAAATCAGTGGGAACGACTATGCTATCATGGGTTAAAGCTTCAAGGTTCCTAAACTCAGCTTCCCTGCTCAGATTTTGTGTGAAATTAAGACCACCGTGGGATCGAATCACGAATTTGAGAATTTGGAGCGCTTCCATCATTTCTGGTGTAAGACGGTTTCGACGTGCTGTATCCATCTCCTTGCTGGAAGAGAAGACACGTTCACAAGGAACAGATGTGCCCTGTATAGGCAAAATGTCCATTGTGAGCTTGTAGATGGTCGGATATTGAGTGCGGTGCTCCTATGATCAGTAAGCAAGATATAAAAGTAGAAGGACAGCCTCGAAACCATACCTGCCAGTAAATAAGGCTTGTTGATGCAGCAGACATATCCATAAGATACATATCAACCTCGTGTTCAACAGATTGTAGCTGGGACCGACGCGCCGTACTCTGAGGATTCAACCTAAGGGCATTAAAAACCCATTGAGCGGGATCTGCATCATTCACTCCGCTGTCGTTACCACCAGATACATCATCAGAGCTACGATAAGTGCGGACCTAGTAATTACAATGAGAGTCAATGAAATGGATATCAGTGAGCTGGATTTACCGCATCGACAAATGATTGCTTCACTGAAACATATTCTTCTGGCCGAAATTGGCTATACCAGTTCAGTTTGATGTACGGATTGACAGCTACACGGAGTCAGCTAGTCAAATTCATTCAGTAATAAAAGCCAGAAGGGACATACCCATTGCAAGCATATAAGCTGGAACATCACGAGCAAGTTCCATGTATTCTGAGAGCTTCTCAAGACCCACATTAATAGCACGCGAAAGTGAAGGAAATTCTTCCTTCTGAGCTTGCCACAGGGCTGAAACAGCTTCGAATGCTGGAAGCATGTCACAAAGTGTCAGAGTCTTCTCGGCAGATAACTGCTCCTGGAACTGGTGCGGTACCTGTGGAAACTTTAGCTAACAAGCAATTATGATCCTGGAGAAAGGCTAGCACATACATTTAAAACTGTACTCATGTCATCAAGAAGATCCCAGTCATGCGTATTGATGTTGTTGTTTCTTGCGAGGTCTTGGAAATCATCAGATGAGAGGAAAGCATTTATAGCCTTATAGGAAAGTCAATTATGACTACGCTTTTTCATGAAATGCTAAGACAGACATACCAGGCGAAGGAACAATGCTCGTTCAATCATTAAATGAGTTGATGACCAGCGAGTATCAGCATTGAGGATTATTTGAAGTTTCTTATTAATCAAAGTCTTGACGGCATTTGCAAAATGTTCATGGCGGAGCGATGATGAACGGATCTGCAGTATATCAGCCTGATCAGATTTAGGCCATGATGCAAATAGATGGAATATGTACCGCACAGATCAGGCGTCGTAAACGAGAGACCAAACCGTCAGCCATTTTCTCCAATTCAGCAATAGTAGCCTTGCAGGCCAGATTGATAACATGTGCAAAGCATCTAAATGATGTGATTTATGAGGGTTTTGTGTTATATTAAGACATCTCTCATACCTGATTCTCATGTTGATGCCATTGATCGCTAGCTCGGGATATTGGCGTTTGAGTTCTCGGACTAACGCGGCAACCAGGGTGTCATTGTTGGATGCATTATCTGTTGTCAGCCAACCTGTCTGGAATTGGTGAGTCGAAGCAGTCATTGGAGAAAAGAAGCGGTTTACCTTGCTAGCAATACCGAGTCTATCTAAAGCATAGAGGAAAGCTTGAGCAAGATGTTCACCAGTGTGTCGTCCAGGCAACCGGTGAAATCCAATGAGATCAGCGCGATAGACAAGATGCTTCTGCAGGCCATGCGGTGTATTGACCAGCTGAGGTTGTATCCAGTGTGCCGTTATAGCCATGAATGACCGCTGGTTTTGGTCAGTCCATAGATCTGTCGTAAATGAGATTCTTCCTTCAGAAGACTGAAATTTAAAGTGTATAAAAACCATATGCACGTTATACAGGACAGTCTACATACCTTCATTTCTTCACTAAGTGTTTCCAGATGCTTGTCCAACG